TGTGTGATGATTATTTATTATTGCAATAGTGTGGTGCAGACTCTCTGGGTTGTGATAGACTAGGCTGCTTTAATTTAAGCATTAAAGCACACGGGTAATGTACTACCCCTTTATCTTACACCATTACCTTTTTCTTTTCATTCTCTTTCTCCTTCTTTCTCACTCTCTTTCTCCTACCATTACCTTTCTTTTCCTCTCTCTCTCCCTCCTTTCTCTTGTTCCCCCTACTTCACTCTCCTCCTCCAGTGAATGTGTTAAATATGTCAAGTCATTCAATATACCCACACTAGTGCTGGGAGGTGGTGGGTACACTATTCGTAATGTTGCTAGATGCTGGACATACGAGACATCATTATTACTGGACACTGATATCAGCAATGAGCTACCATATACAGGTATAGCAAAGGAAGAATTGTATAATTGATATAAGTAATATTTGAATGGGCTTTCCTGGTATAATTTGATTGGGTAGTCTTGTAAATTTTTGTTGTCTTTTATAGAATATTTTGAGTATTTTGGTCCTGATTTTACACTCCATCCTGATGTGAGTACTAAAATGGAGAACCAGAACACAAGACAAGTTAGTTTGCTATTTGCTCTAATATCTTACAAGCATTGTAGCTGCTATTTCCTACACTCACTCATAGTTTTTAGATTATTTTTCTCGTATTCAATTTTCCTTTTTAATCGTTTATAGAGCCTGAAGGGCTTAAGTACAATATTTTAGTTTAGTTTCCATCGTGTGTGGTCACTGTTTTTGTGTCCTCTGAGTATTGTCACATAGTAATTGTGCATGAATGAGTAACTTTGATTGTGTGGGTGAGTATATGGGATGGTACAGCCATTTTAAGGACAATCTCATTTTAATTGATCCCATTACCTATAGACACCTTCTCTTACCTACAACTACTCTACATCTATATTACACTCATTGATATATATTAGTAGTACTATATTAACATACAGTACTGCATTACATAAAAGTACTGTACTAACATATATTGCATGAACATAAAGTATTGAGTCTCTCAAGTTTTATTGTGCTTGAAATCTTTTTCACTATAGGCATGACCAACAACAAAATTCCTTTGCCATATTTGTATATTTTTATTGTGTACACACAATTATTATGTATGAAGTATAGAGTTTGATGCATGTAGTCCATTATGTATTATTATGTTTATCATGAGAGCAGCTACATATGTTATTTTGTATAACTAAGGGTGCAACAGTGATAAGTTTTTTATATGTAAAAGAGTTCTAACACTCTCATGATTTTACTGTTTTACCATTGATACACTAAAACTTTTCTTTTAGCTCATTGTTCTTTCACCTTTCTCTCTTTCTCTCTCAGTATTTAGATCAGATCAAGCAACATATTTTAGAAAATTTAAGAATATTACCACATTCCCCTAGTGTACAGATGCACCAAGTAATGACATACAATACTTTATTTGTCAGTTTGTGCTAACGTGTTACTTTGTTACTCTCATACTGTGTACTGTATTAGGTTCCTCCTGATATGCTAAGTATGGAGGTACCTGAAGAACCTTCACTTGATGTTCGAGAAACCCAACATGAAACTGACTCAAGGTATTTATTATTATTATTATTATTATTAGTGGTATTACATGTACTTTTATGATAGAGTTGAGCATTCCGCTGAATATTATGACAGTGATAAAGATCAAGATTTAACATACCATCATAACATTGACAATGTTTAACTATCATTATTAATTCACACAACAAGGCTACTGTACAATTTAATAGAGTAAT